AGTCGTTCAATGACGGGAGGGAGTTTGGCCAGAGGTGGTGGTGGTGGAAGAGCAGTTGGAGGTGGTCGCGAAGAAGCCTGTGGCTTTGGCTGCGGCTGTGGAGGAGGAGCAACTGGTGTAGTTGGAGGCAGAAAAGGAGCTTCCAGTTTTGCTTTCACTTCTTCTGGTCCAACAAATTCAGCAGCCAGAAGGCGACCTCCATTGGGCGGCCATTGGAGGTTATACACTGCTTCTCTTGTTGCTGCAGCTTCTTCAACCGATGAATACTGCATTCAAATAACAACAACAGGTTAAATTACGAGAAAAACTCTTTGGATAGTTAGATAACTGAAGTAGGAATAACACAAATGGAATCCACAATTTGGAGAAGCGGTCTTACTGATACATAGCAATGGGTCTTAATGTGGTCCATCCAGAAACTAGTGACGCTTCCGGTTTTTCCCAGAAGCTCTTGAACAGCTTTCAGAGTGAACGGCCTAAGGAAACGATCAATCCTGAGGGAATTTGTAGGCTCCTTTGGAGATGGAGGAACTGACAATAAAAATTATAAAAACAGATTTATCAATCAATGTTTTAAAACAACAAATAAGAGATGGAAACATAAATATATATAAGGGTGCTGATTTACATACCCACACGCTCCTTGGGTCCATCTTCACTAACCGACGAATCAGATCTAGAAAAGTCGCGTTTCAGACCAGCCGACCTGGGTGTTATAGTAGGTGCAGCGCTATTAGGGCCCTGTGCATCAGGAACTTTAATACTCTCAGAGTTCCATCGGCGCTGCCTCTTCGCAGGCTCATTGTTTACAACAGCTTCATTATCTACCACGGGAATAGAAATTCAAAAAAATTCATCATATGTAGCTTGGAATATGACAGCAACGCCCCAAAAGCCAACAGATACGAGATGTAACTATCAAAGCGTAAGTAACATATGCCTCAAAAGCCGACAATACAAGATTTAGAAAAACAAAATATTTGATTGCCAAACGAATGAAAATCAACTAGACTTACCATTAACAGGAAGCTTTCTTTTGTCAGAAGCCACCACTGGATGACTCTTATTTTCAGGGGATTTCCCTTTCCCAGCAACCATTATATCAGCACGGGTTTCCTCCTTATCAGTAAGCATGTCATCGTTCTCACTCTTATCCACCACTTTGTGAGATGTAACTGACTCGGTTTGCTTAGTCTCTGGCTCATCCTCCATAGAATCATCACCAGAACTTCTATCTAAATTCAACTTTTCTGAGTCGCCTGCATCGATAATATTATTTCCTTTGGTCATATCTGCAATTGCAGCATCACTGTCATCTCCACCTCCAACAGATATCTTCTGCTCAAGTGGCTTCTCGACATCCATTGGATGCGATTCGCCAACGACATTTGATGGCTCTTGGGACTTACTAACATTTTGTTCTAATTTGACATTATCAGTAATTTCGTTATCCTTTAGTTCTATTTTTTCATTATTTGACACAGAATCAGTAGAAATGCAATCAGATTTTACCTCAAACCCTGTAACGGGGATGACCTCAGATACCTGGTTGTACACAGCAGATTTTTCAACCACTGCCTCTGTCGGTTGGGCCTTAGAATCCCCACCATCAGATTTCTGAATATTATTCTGCTCATTAGACCCCTCTTTCACATCTACTTCCTGAGGTTCCTGTAGCTTCACATCAACCACTGAACTATCAAGACCAGCTATCTCTCTAACATCATCAACCTTTACATCCTGATCACCAGCATTCGTCACCGCGTTAAACTCTTGTTTACCAAACAACGGGGTTGGTGTTGTCTCAACCGCAGCTGTCGTCTTAGCCTCAGCTGCAACTGGTGTTGTCTCAGTGCTCAATGCCGCTTCAAACGGAGCAACATGAGTGGTTTGATTTCGATCTGGTGTAACGTTGCCTCCAGTTATAGGAGCAAACTGAGCCACTCGATTGGCTTCCT